AATTTTGTTCTGTTAAAAGTGGTTGGAAGTGGAAATTGGCTTTATATAAATGCAAATATTTTCTACTGAATTAGTAAGATGGTGTGTTTTCCTAGGATGCTTGAAATAAACATGCTTTTAGTGTTTCTCTAGAATCAAAACTATTTAAGTCGGAAATAGATTTCTTGTTTGGTCAAACATATTGATATTACTTCATAAAAAACGTTGTGTAGTTAAAATACCCCCGCCGCAGCAAACCTGCCGTCTAAGCGAATTTCCATTTAGCTGAATTGATTTTCAATCGATCTATTTAGATAACATTAGGTTTAACGAGTACCTAGGTTTGCTGCTACAAGGAAACTAATAAAGTGTGTATTTTAAGTAAAATAATTATTGCTTAGTAGAAAATGAATATATTTGCCAAGTTTGATCAAAAGATATCCATAAACAAAGAAACTACAACATTTTACAATATTCTCCATAAGAATAACATGGGAATTTTAAATTTACAATTTTTTTAGTTTTCTCCGTAACCAATAACCGTACAAAAACACTTTGATATACTGAATTGTTTGTTTTTTTAAGCTCTTTAAGAAGGTGTAGAGAAAAATTGGGAAATTTTGTGTTTTGAGGGTCAAAAGTGAGAAAAACCAATTTTTACCCCATAAAACCCCCCATAAAACCCTGTTCCCAAGGTCCGATCATGCTGGATCGCGAACTCACTCAAGTTAATGCCGCCTTACACCTTCAAACCAAATTTCATCAAAATCGGATAAAAATTACTCAAGTTATCGTGTTCACGGACACACACATATATATATATATATATATATATATATATATATACATATATAAAAATTTGAACGAATGGTGTTTTTGGCCTCTGGGGACATCAAAATGAAAAAGTAAATCGGTCCCGGGCCTAAGTCTTACCATGAGACCTACGGTAATAGCTACTTCCCTATAGGGAAATTCGCTAAAAAAGTTTTTAAAAATACATTTGGATTTAAACAGCTAAAGTATTTCTGAAACGATTGATCACAATTTTTAAAGTAGAGTACAATATAATAGTCATAATATAAAATACTAGCAGATTACCCGTTCTTCGTACGGGGTTGGCATATAAGCATAAAATGTTTTTTTGCAGTTATACTCAAGCTTTGCTTTTGCAATGGGAGAGGACACGGTTTGAGAAAATTTGGTTCTTTAAATTAACGGTATGCTACAGTATAACACAACACATCTACGATAGCCATAATGTTCTACCACTTCACCTAAACAATAGAAAAAGTAAACTACCAAACATTCGCACAATATCACAAATTATTTATTAAGTTAAAAACGTTAACATCACTGTAAAGGAATTAATTTTAAATATGAATACTCTTAAGGTTAACATTGAAACTCCTGAGCCACTGGGGCGGAGCCCGAAAGGATTTTCGAGATAAAGATGTGTGTAATCGGGAATGTGAGCTGTCATCATGCCAAATTTCAGAACTTCAAACAAACACACAAACTTTCACATTAATAATATTAATAGTACGATAATTTTTCGTAACCTAAAACACCACTAGCCTAACTAACAAAACTGTGTTGAATAAAGTCTACAGTTTTTGACGACTTAAATTAAAATCTTAGTGAAAACTTTTACTATCCTACGTGTAAAAAAATACTCTTTTAACTCAATTTTGGGCCCTGTTTCTCCTAATCCACAATTTTATTGATATGACTTCTTTAGACTTGTCAGACCTATCTCTGAGTTATAAGTTCCAATGATAAAAAGTATCGATTGAGTTTAAAAAAGTAAAATCTCGTGTGTTTTATGTGTTCACATTTTCAAAAAAACAAAAAAAAACAAAAAAAAAACTGACCTAACACCTTAGTACCTGTTCATTGTTATTACTTCTTTATTTAAAATGTATTCCTTTTGCCTAGGCTAGTTTCTATTTTGCTTGTAACAGTGATCTGCATTTGCATGTATTTTTTCCGTTTTATTTTATTGCATAAAATCTATTGCACTGCATGTGTTTATTGATCAATTAAGAATCTAAGTGCATAAGTTATCAATAACATGAACAACATTTGAGTTTAGATGTTGACCAATAGGGATTACCAATTTAGTAGTCATAGTGTTAACCTTGTTATGACATCATTGCCAAAAATGAAATACTCACGATAATTAGTAGTGTAGTAGTTATTTTTGATTCTTTGATTTTTCCAAGAACTTAAAGCAAAAAACTACATTTAGAAGATGCACGCATTTTTGCTTCCTTCTTGAAGAAACATTTCCATGTTCTGTTTCCAAGAAGATTCAACATTAGCAGGCAGATTGAAATAGAAAGCTATTTTAAACACCAATTAATCAAAGGCAGAAGTGTAGCATCGTATACCAGCACTTCACACGAAGGTACTTTGACCGAAAACTAACACCAGCTGCTGACCACCTTTGTATCTTTAAAAAGGGGTTATTTAAATCTATATATTATTATATAGGCAAGCATGTTTCTTGTAAACCTTTTTTCTCAGCTTGTGTGCATCGCAGGGAAAATCTACGCATACTGTTAGGAACATATTTTCATTTAGAAGAGCAGAATCCCTTTTATATTAAAATAGGCTAAAAAATAGACACAAAAAATGAATTGAAAAAAAAATAAATAAAAAAAACATAATGTCTTATGGGTTGCCATGCTGGTGCACAATAACAACGAAATATAAACAGAAAATCAAAACAAATGGAAGAAATTCCAGTCACATGTTTTATTTACAGTATGGGGTGAAAATAGTGAAGTCTGTACATTACATATTTTTTATACAGTTTTCGACCACTGGACGACATCTAGCTTAAATAAATTTACTTGCATTAAATTGACAATAATTGATTAAAGTACAACTGTTATTTCCATATTATTTAGCAATACTGATATGGAACATAAAATTGTTTATGTTCGGAATAAAGTTCTCAGTTATTTCATGTTGAACATTTTTCAAGAACATTTTTCTCTTTTATTTCATGGTGAATTTTACAAGCGAATTTCTCACTCATGCTGAAAACCAAATGCTCCCTTGGCAATTGGGATTCTTTGGGGATTCTGTAGATGCCCAAGTGGAATTTCGGCTGGTCGGTTTCGACTATTGAGCGTAATACAAATACTTACGGGACAACCTGTATTTTGCATTACCTTTCGGGTTTTGATAGTTAATCTGATATCCCCGTGAGTTCTCTGTAATGTTCGGATAGTGAACGTACACTTCAAAATCCATTTATATTAGATTGAGAACTAAATCCAATATCATATGCTAGTACATTATAATTGACATTTTCAGTTCACCACAAAGAGAAAAATAAATTCCCTGTGGGAAATTCGCTGAAAACAGACACACAGACAGCGGCACGTACACGTGGTTAACAGCTGATGTGTGTTAGATAAAAGGTAAAACCCCTAAAATGCTGACGGAAACGGAAATGCAAAAATAGTGAGTACGACTACGAAACTGGTGAAAACAACGCACTTAGCTCATTGCACCGGCGCCGTGACTTCGCGCATAGTTACACAACTGCGCATAGTTACACTAGTTAACTTAACCAGTAGTTAGACTAACATTAGCCTTTGATGATTCCATAGTTTACAATATTGATTCCGCTATAAAACGTAACTTACGCCTCTTGGTAACCAATAAATCCTAAATACCAAAGGTACTCCTCAAGGAGAATGAACCTAATAAATATCAGTTATATGTGTTATAAGATTGCTTGTTCATAAACATATCCTGATAAAATTTGCTGGGAAGTTTTTTTCAAACTTTTGATTTAATTAAAATACATTATTTGGGCGAATTTGGAAGTAAAAGTAATGGAGTGATGTATGAAAAATTGTTTGATACATAGTGTATAGTAAGTAAAAATTCCTTGTTATAACCTTGCTTAATTACAAAATCAATAAAGCAACAAGAAATATGCTTGGTGAGCAGGTTACTGCAACGAGGATATTCAAATGTAGTATATACGGTATATTAATTGTTGAATCAATATTGTTTGTAAATAAAGTCGAATGCTTGTGGTGGTAGAACATTATGTACACAAAGTGGATGTTATGTTATGTTGTGTAGATCAAAATATTGTATGACATAAATAACAAATTCTACAGTTTTGCAATCGTTTTGAACGTGGTCTAAAAATGGTCTGCTACTTCTTGTTTCATCCCCCTTGTGAAATTTAATAAGGTTAGTTGAATTAATTTGCAACAAACAGGGACAGTTTGCATAAGAGGGTAAAGCTGAAAAAAATAATTGCTATCTTTTGCACACGTTTTAATTTGTGTGTTTGCTACGCCAGTGGCATTTCTATTAGGTACGTTTTTTAAGTAAAGTGTTCAAAATTAAATTGACACTAATCCATGTAGATCTATAGTAGTTGAATATAACTCTGGTTTGCACTTTTTCAGTTTTATAAAATCCATTTTGTGTGAATAAGAGGAAGAACTATATTTTACTTTTAACGTAGTATGTATGCAATGATTCTAAGTAAATTTTAATTAAACTAGGTATATTTTAGGACGAATTTCTATGAAACATGTAATCGAAATTGCATAATTCATGAAGGTGATTTGATTGCATTGGTTGCATCATAACCCCTACAGTAAGTAGGATACGATATTAAACAAGATGGGCTTATAATATAGCAAAAACAATATTTTTACTCAACAACAAACATTTTACTATTTTACAAACTTATGAATAAAATCTTAAAAATTCGCGACTGAATCACATCCACGCGGGGTGGGAAGGTTTCACTTATTGATTGGTTGAAAATCGTGTTACCAAACGATAATATGAATCACAACACGAGATATCACTCAGTAAAACAAATAAACCAGTTATTTCGAAATAGCGACGGTTTTCACGTGCCCAGTAAAAGCCGCCGTCGATCGATACAACAAGAAAAGCACGTGGGGAGTAGACAATAGTCCGCCTAGCAAGGCCTACAGAGAAACTGAAATCATTCAACATTGCTGTCCACTTACCCAGAAACAGATGGTCCAGATGATTTGATCAATCCAGAAGCTCAGGAGAGAATACCAAGGATGTATTATTCGCGCAGAACACGGAACCGGTACAGAATACAGAACGGGACGGACAAACGTTTAGCAGACAGCCGAGGAAGCAGACAGCTGGAGTTGGAGGGAGTGCGCATGCGCGGCCATCTTGGATCTCACCCCAAGTCAGCTGTTTGATCTAGGTCACTGTCACGCGATCCGAATTGGCGCGAAAACTGCCACTGCGAACTTTTGAATACGTATTTCTGTTGGGTTGGCTCATGGTGGAAGGAAAAAACCACGATTACTAGAAAAATACCGGTATGGATCATAAACATGAACAAATTACGTTTTTGGCCCGAAAATAAAAATCAATTAACATTCCTTGAATGGAACTGCCAAAACATATGTTTAATGCTATTAGTATAGGATTCGGGCCAACAACGTAATTCTTTTGTGTTTATGATCCATACCGGTATTTTTCTAGTATTCGTGGAAAAACATAGGTGTGCTATTCCCGTCATATTCTGACGTCACTCGGATTGCAAACAAAAGATCACCTGTTTGTAACTGTCAAATTAGTATGTATTTGTTTTGATTTGGTTGTTATTGTTTTTATAATAATAAATACAATAACAAGCAAATCAAAACAAAATTTGACAGTTACAAACAGGTGATCTTTTGTTTGCAATCCGAGTGACGTCAGAATATGACGGGAATAGCACACCTATGTTTTTCCTTCCACCATGGGGTTGGCTCTATTAAGTCTAGGAGAATTTATGAGTTCTATTATGTGTTGAAGGATGCAAAATATCTGCTGTACCTACTTTCACTTGGGTTTAAATCCTTTGACTTAGAGGCTAGCAGCCATTTGGATAATTTAAACTGACGAAGAGTTATTTACCGTCCAAAAATATTTGTAAGCACCAAATTAATTATAATTTAAATATATTATAAATGTTCTTTGTAGTTTTGAATTCTTCTCCAAGGGAGTCCATGGAAGCGTCCATCTTGGATTTGCCCACCATAAGACCAATTAATTTCGTTAGTTTCAAACAGCCGCTGAAGAGTTATCTACCATCTCAAAAACACCAGAGTTATTGTAAATGAAAAATCTGGTATACTGTGAGATTAGAAATTTTCTTTGTAGCTCTTTAACTGTTTTACTAGTTCCAGTACTACCCTCATTTTCCAATATCAGTGCTCTCACGAATACAAACGTTTTCAAGCAGAGAAAAATTAATGAAAAATTTAAAAATGAACAAAACAAATAAATAAAAAAAGTTTACAAATAGTTCAGAATTTATACATACAGAGTTATATATTTGTCCGTGAACACGTTAACTTGAGTAAATGTTGTCAAATTTTTATGAAATTTGTTTTAAAGGCGTAAGGCGGGAAAAATTGTATTCTTGTTAATGAATTTAAAATTTATTTTTTGTTAATTATTATTGTTATCTACTCAAATCAAATTTATTATTGTTATCCATTGTAACGCTTTTACTGATTTGTTTTGTTGTAACTGTTTTGTTTATTTTCACTTGTTTTGTTGCAACCGCTGTCTTTTCGCCATCTTGTTGCCGTCTCTTTTGTTGTTGTTATCAATTCATTCTAATTTCTTTTGTTTTCACTCAACATTATTTATAACTAGGCTTTAAGAAAGTCTTGTTTGTATTGCATTGATTTGTACGAAATATCAAAATGGAGCTGTCCGTTGGAATGTAAAATAAAAATAAAATAAAATAAAAAACTTGAATGAGCGAACCAGCTTGATCGGACCATGGCAACGGGATTTTACGGGGGGTTTATGGGGTAAAAATTGGGTTTTTTTTCATTTTTAACTCTTAAAACACAAAATTTCCCAATTTCTTTAGAGACCTTTTTAAAGAGATGGAAAAATTTAGTATATCAAAGTTTTTTTGTTAGTGGTAGGCCTAACAGAGAGGATTTAAAAAATTGTAAATTTAAAATGTCCATGTTATTTTTATGGAGAATATTGTAAAATTTTGTATTTGCTTCATTATAGATATATTTTGATAAAACTTGGCAAATTTATTCATCTTATACTAAGCTATTAATCCTTTTACTAAAAACACACTTGCAGTAAACCTATGGAAATATAACTATTTATACATAATGGTATTTAAGTTTAATTGAAAATCAATTCAGACAAATAATAATTCGCTTAGTAGGTTTACTGCAGCGGGGGTATTTGTAATTTCAATAGATGTATGGATTCATGGATTAGTTTATCCCACATGAATTACCTATACTGTAGTAAATATTAATGTTTCAAAACCAAGCCCAAGCAATGTTGTGGGAGAATCGTGTCATGTCGTATTAAGTTTAGATACGATGATCTATTTATAACATTCATAAACCAATCATCGGTCTCAGGTAAGAGACACGACTCTCGGCTTCTCAAATAATCAAATCACGACTATAGAGTCGCCATTGCCAGTATGGATGGTAAGGTAATAATGCTTTGCACCAAGTGACCTATATAGTGTTGAGCGAGCCACTCAATCACGGCGAGAGTCGACGAATACAAACGTTTCTTTGCTAAATACCTTGTTTTTAAGAGGTGAAAGCGTACATTATTTCAAATGTATAGTTTAATATATTCCTATCTGAAGCCAATTTCGTTTATAATTTTAACACAGTTTAAATGTATTAGTAAATAAGTAAACAGAACTGGAATGAGTAATGTTTGTCGATTTTAGTGACATCTAGTGGTAAATGGGTGAACTGTTGCGAGCCTCGATGGTAGTTACATCTGGCGGTGGTTAGGCGAACTGGTGGGAATGCAAACCTTGACGATGACAATGTTACGAGGTGTTTACGAGTAGATAGAGATGTCTAGCGGTAACTAGGGGAACTAGTGATGGGATGATGGGAACGATATCAGTAGTACGTCATCATAACATAACCTCCAAAAACGCACATTATTCGAATTCGAGTTTCTTCAGAACTGATTCGCCGGTCATTTCTTCTTCAAATTGTCTTTTTATCGAGCTGTTGGCTGTTGTTTGAGTGGAGTGTGGAGTGAGCCATTCGTTATACAGTACAACTCATTATCTGAACTTGCTTGTCGCAACAATTTGTATTAAAAATGACTACGGATTACAAATCCCCTCTTTCAAGTCGTTATGCCTCCAAAGAAATGCAGTTTTTATTTAGTGAAGTTAAGAAGTTTTCAACTTGGAGAAAACTTTGGATTTACCTTGCTGAGGCTGAAAAGGTATGAACTCAAATATTATCCTTAAGGCATAACTTTTGTGTAACCATGTATAAAGTTATATAACAACCCATGTATCCTAACCTTCAGTCACTAAGTTAGTCAGTAGGCTAGGACTAAATTGTTGAAATATTACATTGTTGAAAAAAATATTAAAAATTGACATTTAGCTTGGTAAATCTAGTGCTGGAAGATGCAAAAGGCTTCACACAAATTCTAAAGTGTGTTATGCTTAATAAGGTACACAAGCCTGGCTACACATAACAATGAGAATAAGAATAACTTAGTTTATTGCCATTGACCATATGTATCAAACGGAATAGGCGTTGTCAAGTTGCATATGAATGGAAACAAGTATAAATATTGTAAGTAAAAGTATAAGTTAGGTACTTACCGCAAGTTCGCCGTTGGTACTTTGGTATTATCCGGAGGCCACCATTTACAGCACACTGCGGTGGTTATGTTAGGTTGGGTTAGGCTAACATGAATATTTTTAAGTTTAGGTAGGACTTTTCTTGTTTAATTAAGTATGAATAAAAAAAACCAGATGGGTCATACTTTCGCTCGCAAAATAGGCCAAGGTGAGGTCGTTGACTGGAACGTGCACATCACTTGTCACTGCCTGTGGCAGTTAGAGACAGCGACGCATACGGTACAATTTTTTAAATCCCCACCGACATCGCTGCCACCTGGGAGACAGAACTCAAAGGTTGTTAATTGTAATACTAGGCTATATCAAATTTGAATAGAACCGGTAAATCAAATAAATTATGTTCTTTCAATTTATGACAACCCAACTGTTATGAACGTATGAAGCTAATTGTCACCATAGCAACCTGTTATGTTTTTTATTCAATGATGTTTACTTTCTGTTCTGATTTAATACAAGACAGTTTACTTTTATTTCAACACTCTGTCTTTTAACTATTCAAATATTCCATTTGAGTCATCTCACCAACCTATCATAACCACCGGGCGCTGTAGGCCTATAAGTGTGGCCTTCTGGATAATACCTAAGTACCACGCTGTTTACGTAATCATGTTTCCACACCCTAACAAGACACTTTTTATCAATTGCATGTACCTAAACAGGTTCAAGGTTATATTTAGGCTTAAGTTATTTGAGGACGGACATTTTTGCAAGTCTCGACTACGTTGCCCTCCTGTACTCACGATGTACATAACAGTTCGATATTCTGTAATTAACATTTCTTGTAAATAATATCTTATTAATTTTTAAAAGCGTACCCTATATTGTTTTTATAGTTTTCTACAAATGCTTCCCACTCATTGCTACATTACTTAGGATGCCCATAATAACGATTATACATATTCTAAATCAAAAACATTATTTCTATTTCTCCTTGGTGATGTTCTATGACTTTCCTATGTTTCCATAGTTTGCAAATCGGCTCTTTCAATGATTGCTCAAGAAATGCAGCTTAGTGTTAATTTAGTTTCCTTTTTAGTAAGTTACATCAAATTGTCCAGGTTTTCTTTCCATCTTTCTATTGTCCTAATATTTACATCTAGTAGTTTACTATAGTTTGCCTAATATTTACAATAGCCTATAGTTGGGCCGCTTAGAAAGCGACCTCCTCCAGCATTGGTTTAGCATTAGCGCGCAGGTCGTTTTCTAAGCGGCCGAACTATAGTTGCGATGTCCGTGACAGGTAAGTGCGAAGCTATTAGGCCTCTCAATGTCTCTACAAACTCTTTGTGGGAAAGTCCTCTCCATAAGCTTCGTCTTGCGTTTTGGTTGTATGTAGACTATGGTATCAATTATAACTTAAGAAAATTGATAAAACCACTGATAAAGCACAATTATTCAAAAGAAAGACACACACTGCTCCAACAGGGGTCTTCCCTCACTCCCCTAGTATCCCCCACTTCCCACCCAAAGATTTTTCAGTTTAAGCTAAGAAGACTTAATAACAAAAGCTGTGTTCAGGTTATAAAATCAGATAGGTAAAGTTATGTCAAGTTATTTATGGTTCTAGACATTTCTGTCGCAGAACATCTACACAGTATTTCTCCACAGTATATCTTTCAAAGATTCTATTAGTAAAGTATTAACAGATGCTAGGCCTAATCTAACGAGGCAGTAGTTTTAGACAGGTATAATTCCCACCCATTGGTATTTTCTGTGTAAACCAAAAGTACCTATAATTTCTAATATGAATATTATTCTTTTGGGCTTTGCTAACCAATTGTTGAAGCCAATTGGGCTGGAAGGAGTCTGATGGCCTGTTGCCGGTTCCCATCCCTATATGTCAATTATTCTTGTTGTAGTAAGATAACCAAATTAATGAGAAGGTAAATCAACGCTCCTGCCAAGTAGAAATGGTATACTTTGTTTAGATAGCTGTGGTAAAAAGCATTAACCACCATTGACTTGCTCTACCTGATGTACCTGATGTATGTGAAGATTACAGTGTTTTAACGTAGAAAGTATTCATAACAGTTTTAGAAAGATCTTAGGTGGTCGTAAACATTACACGATGCAGGCTGCCTGCAGCACAGAAAACATACGGCAATGACCCAGAATGCTGACCGCATGGAGCTTTGCCTGTCAATTCGTAGACAGCGCCACCAGCATTGCTATGCTGGTGCATTGTATGCTGGTGCATTGTAAGCTGGTGCATTGTATGCTGGTGCATTGTAAGCTGGTGCATTGTATGCTGGTGGCGCTGCCTACGAATTGACAGGCAAAGCTCCACGCGGTCAGCATTCTGGGTTATAGTAGTATTTTTCTGTGACTGGCCAATCATCAGTCTCCTGGCAGTGACAAGTTATTGGAATTTGTCTGTTGTGGCTGAACAAGCGTTACCAAACTGATAGGTCGATAAATACTACCAAGACAACAGTAAATCCTGATAGTCTTAAACACACCAATCAGAACGTAAAGTTTCCTCAACTCTCTTCACTGTTTCGATGGAATCTGTTGAACAACTGCTGAAATTCTTGTAGGTCCCTGAACCAATCATGCACATTTTTTATGTCAAACACTTTTCTGCATACATCTATCAACTGGCAGATTTCCATAGGGATTGACCTCTTTCAAACAGGTGCCTATTCGCAGAATGAGATTCATCGGTGGTGGTGGGTTAATCAAATTTACCTCACGTTGTTTTTGGCTATGACAAGACTGATCATCCTTTGGGGGAGGGGGGGGGCAGACAACAATGCTAGTGGATGAAGTGAAGAACTTAGTGTTGCAGGGTTTCGAACTAGCTTGATTGGCTGCGAAGAAACCTCGATAGTTACCATAATCTACAGCCCTTGTATAATAAATGGTTGGAAACATACTTTTTCATAACTGAAGTTTTAAGAGAAACATCAGTGTTTATGGTCGGTTAAAATTTCTATATCTGTGTCATTTCTTTAACATGCCCTTTCATCAGTCTTCAGTCTTCACACTTACATTCATCACACGTATGTCCTGGGAACCGTTGATAGCGAATGTATAGGTAGTTGAATAAGTTTACTAACCAAACCAAAATGTTTTTGTACTTTAATAGCTTAATAAACATTTAGAAACTATATTTACATTGCAAAAATAATTATCTTAACTGTTACATAAAAAAGTTGGGCTTACATTGGTAAATCTCTTAAATTAAACTCCATCACCCGTACCGGTATGTTAACCAAATGTCGGTGAAGAAGGTCAGAGAGTTGAGTATTGAAAAGATCCCCGAACAAATCATCATGTCAAGGAATGTTTTGGGGGGATGGAAGTAGAGACTGTGCATCAGAGTCCACCAATCGTTAAGGACTACGCAGCCTGTGATGAAAAACAGGATCCCTAGCACTGTGGAAAAGATGAACAGCTGAAACAGAAATTTGATTGGTTAATCACAATTTTTACTTTCTCGCCCCCCCTCCCCCCCTATAGGCTTACATAGTAAATGGATAAAGTATTGTTTTTGTAAAAAAATTTGGGTTGGAGTCTTGGGTGGATATATCCGTTTTGGGTTCCCCTGAACACAAAAACCCAAAAAAGTGATTTTCAAAGTGATGTCTATGTGCGTTCATGTGTGTCTGTCTGTGTGTGTGGATGTGTGTTCAGAGCTTTTGACTATCAATAGTCAATGGTTCAGAGAGACCAAACCTGTGGTCTGATTTTGATGAAATTTGGCATGTGGGTACTAATCCATTGTATCTCCAGGCGTTTTTAAAATTGTTTTGAAATTTTGATTTTAAATTCTGATTTTCCTATAAAATGAAAATAAATAAAATTTATACAAAAAACAGCCTGAGCGATGTTCATTAAAATTTAGTATATTATAAGCCCTAGTACTTTTAACTCTAAACAAAACAACGCAATCCCATAGCTGTAACGGTTAAAAACTTATTGTAATTGATGTGATTTTCCCATAAAAAACATATAAAATATCAGAAAAATTATTTTTTTATATACCGTAGCTGACCAATTTCAATTGAAATTCAGTATGTTGTGGCTCTTATGGTTCTAAACAAAATGGTACCACCCCCATTGCTGTAAGAATTATAGTTTCATAGTAACAACTTTTGTGATTAACATTGTAGCAATGGAATAGGTAGTGGAGAGGGTGGTGAAGTATGTGACAGGTAGTCAACTTACATCTTAGGATTGAAGAGGTTTAAACAGTTATCAAAAGGTATTCTTTGGACGCTATGCTTGAAAAGGATATGTTCTCACATCTTAATTGATTAGTTAATCTAAGAATCTTGTGAGAGAATGAAACTCACAGTTTTCTGCGGGACTCGTTCGCCCTGTAAGTGACTGCCTATGAGGACTCCGTTTACAATGACAGCACAGCAGTAAGTGACGTAAACGATGCCGACATGGTTCAGGTTGGTCTGGAGTCTGTTGTCGAACGGTACGTAGATCAGCACCAAACACAACAAGGCTACCACCTGTATAGACACAAAATATGGTGTTAATTAACCATTAAAGCTCAAAAAGCTGACATGTTTGATGCAAGAGTACAAAACTTTCAATTAGGCGACAACTATTTATGCGAGTATAAATCAACAACAAAAGCTGATTGCTATACTTGATATATGCTACAGCCTGGTGTCAAGCGTAGAACTACTATTTTTGTGCTTTTAGTTGATCAGTGTTATTACTTTGAGGTTTGATCAATGAACAATGGGTCAAAGGTATTTTCTCACCATCTTCTAAACAGGACTGTGAATTGAGGACCATAAATTAAAAAAAAATTGCTTTTATTTGAAAGTTAAATTTCTTCTGACCATAATAAAATACCAATTACTCTAATAAAAAAAATGTTCATATAAAAACCATTAACACACTTAAACTCCGCTCTCATTTCAGGCATATTCCCATCAAAATTAAAGTTAGCTAAGGTTATTCCCATATTTAAAAAAGGTTATCTTAAAGACCTATCACACTATCGCCAAATCTCAATTTTACCTGCTTTTCCTAAATTTATGAGCGTTTAGTTTATATTTAGCTTGCTAGATATCTGGAAAATAACCAGTTGTACTTTACAAAGAGCATCATGGCTTTCGGAAAGAGAATTTTAACAGCGGGTATAGAATTTGTTAAGCTAACTAATAGACATTTTGGACTCATTCATTCAAGGAAAATAAGGCATAATACAAATTTTAGGAATCTCTGAACCACACTTGGTAAGACAAATTAGAGAGTATGTGACAAGAGAGTATGTTGATTTGTTGGTAGCTAATACTAGTTGCTTAAACTCTCAACCCTACGAGACTCATAACTATTTTATTTTATTGTGTTTCCCCCTCATGTAATAAAAAAAAATTTTATCTTACTTAAATTTCAAATAATTTTTAATTTTTTATATTAGCCTTGATAAAACAACAACGTGCAAGATTTAAAGGTCATTTCAATTTGTTTGATTTATTATAACGATGTGTCAGGGCCTTAATAGGGCCTTAACGTAGGCATTTACCAGCTAATGCAAAAACAACATGTACACTACCACACTTCATTATAGACCTCTAAACATTTTCTATAATCAACGATATCTCCACTGTTTTATTGCATGTATATAACAATTTTTCGAAATTTTGCTGTAATCGGATGGATGGTTTGTCAAATCAAACAAAATAAAACATATGTACAGACATACATTTTTTACAAAATTTACGTAAATGAAGAATATATGTAAAGTACTTATTTATTTTAGGTCTATGTTAGCGACTTCAAAACACATTTCCCTTGTTTCTTGACCAAATTGTATTTGTCTGTTAATGTGTTAGAAAACGTTCCCACATGGTTGTAGGCCTACATATAATAGTGTTTTTACTAGTTTCTAATTGGTTGATTGACACCAATTAGAGATCGTCTCCTATTGACTTCCAATTATCTAATTATTTCCTACCCTCTTTAGCTCGTCTCTAACTACGTAGCTTTCTTTGTCTGTCGTATTATTTGATGGTTGAAACATTCTGTGTTTTGAAGGGTTCTTGGATATGAAATGCAGTTAGTTACTACTACCGTTTAGTGTTTAGTAATGAATTATTTCTTTATAGGCCACTGAACTCTGAATTGTTAAAAATTGGAATCAGCAATTGATTATTTGTCTTAGATTTATTCATTAATTCTCTTGTTATGTTTAGAAGATTTTTACATGCTTGGTTATTATGGATAAATATCAATTTATATATACATATCAATATACCGGAAAACACCGGTATATACATATAGTAAATCTTCAAAAATTTTACTGAAAAATATAACTAAGCTGAAAATTATTGAACATGAGAAAAAGATCTACTACATTAACTCGAACCAATAGAAAAACCTCTTGTCTTCTAGCAAACATGTTCGAACAAATTGTTTTGCTAAAATCCAAAAGACCCGGTGTGGATCATAAACATAAACAAATTACGTTTTTGGCCCGAAAGTAAACAAAACCATATGTTAATTAACGCTATTAGGATATGGGTTTTGTTTACTTTCGGGCCTAAAACGTCATTTGTTTATGTTTATGATCCATACCGGTATTTTTCTAATATTCGTGCTAAAATCTAAATGTATTTTTATTTATTTGTGAAAAAATTCACTTGTTTTCAAACTCCAATAAGTTTAGTTGGATTGTACAGTATTGTGTTAGAATGGTTAAGAATAAAAATAGTATATTTTTTATACAAAATACGCTTATTAATTCAAAAACATTTAGGCCTATCTTCAATAGATTTTTTAAAACGTTCATTTAAAAAAATCGTTGAAAAAAAATGCAAACCTATTCAAACACTAATATTCATTTGATATTCATTTGAATTATTCAACACATTGTTTAGTTGAGTGACGTGCCCGAACGTCCGTCACAGTTTCATAACGCAATCTTTGTTTACTTGAATCGTTAAACGTCATTAGCACATAAGTGCGTAACGTTTAGCTGGTACCGTACGTTACTCCTATTATAGTCGCTAACAGATATCAACTCCGAAATATTGTATCCAATATCCGAACATATCCAATATATCCAAATATTCGAACACAACTTGTTGCTAGCGTGGTATTTTGTGGTCCATTTTCTGATTTGTTGGTGTATGTTAGATTAAAGGGAAGATAGTGTTTAACAGTTTTAATTATAGGGACCAATTAGTTAAATTAACTTTAGAATTAATTCAACTGTGATAATAAAAAATGTTAAAATTGCCTCTTTTTGTTACTTGATCATAACGTGTGTCTTATAATTTGATTAAGCAACACAATTTTTTTTTACTACTATTAAAAGCGATTTTCTTATCAAGACCAAGGGAACGGATACTAGGGAACTCTGACCATAAAAAAGTAAAACGATTGTCTTCTGTGAGCATAAATATTTATTTATATTACGTTAATCGAAATATTCCACGGTAAAAGAATATAGTTGTGTTATTTCTAGAAGCATACCCTCTAACAGAATGTATTGATAGCCTATCTTACGAGTACATAGAAAGCATATTCGACTTAAAAGCACTAACAATCATTGACGACAGTTTATTGGAGACTTAGTGATATATGGTCCATTTAATGTATTCTTTAAATGAATTCAATATGTTTTGTACATCCAATTGCATTCCATTGTCATGCTTAAAGAAATAAAACATTACTACATGTCTGTTTACATATATTCGAATAATACTATATACTTTGGACTATATTAGCCATTACAACCTAATGTTCTTTATTAACCAATACAAATCTTTATAAAAACGATCTATTCTCACTCCATATGTTTTTTACACACAGTTCAACGATATAAGGATTTCGTAAAAAGTATTAAATAGCCTACTAAATAACAAAAATCACTCAAATAATGTTTCTACTTACCAATTCAAGTACTTTGATAAGGAACGGCGAAGCGCCGATGAAGGATTCAGCGAGTGTCCTGTCGTCGTTGGCCATCGCGTCACTAACAGCTGATTGATTGTTGAACAGCTGATGCGTGTGCGTGGGCCGCTGCGACACTACAGCTGGTCCCGCCAATTCTTCCCGCGGATCTCCGCTTTCCCGGGGCGCGTCAATCGATTTTCACGGCGACGACGAGAAATTGTGAAAACCTAACCCAGATAGCGATAGTTTTTCTCGGATAATTCTTGCGATTGGTTCCATTCCGCCCCTGTGGCACGTGGCGGAGATTGTGGGGGTGGTTAAAGATAATTCCGGTTTCGCAATACTTCCTGTTGACAAAAAGTGTTTGCTTTTCCTTTTTCGGTGTTTTGCCTTGCTACACTGTGTTAAAATTGTTCAGTTGAGTAATACTGTGGGTACTTTTTGACCAGTTTTCTGATGTAACAAGAAAAACGTCTCTGACAAAAATGTAACATATTGTATGGATTTTGGTTGGAAAAATTTCATTAAACTCATCTAATTAAACTTCATTGTTGCTAGTTCGAAACATAACCAAAAGCAAGCTCTTCTTTGAACACAAATTAAAATTGTTAAATCACTTGGCTACCATTGAAATAAATTAGGTTTCCCTTTGAAGTTAATCAATATTTTTTATTTTTGATCAAATTGAACACTTCTATTGGGTTTTAATATTTTCCGATACACATTTTATGCAAAGTTTGATATTAAATCGTAGCTTTCGCTAAAAATAGTGAATGATAATAGACAATATACAAAACTTTATTGTACATAACGACATTATAACATTTTTTTATGTACATGGTATTTTATGTCAAAAATTAATTGTTGGCTTAATAACAAAGATATACTATGCAGTTATAGTTTCATTTGTACGTAAAAAGTAGATCTGATGTGTAAGCTGGGCTTCAAAATCTAACACTTAATTATTAAAAATAATTAGTGTCCGTGAACACCATAACTTGAGTAATTTTTGTCCGATTTTGATGAAATTTAGTTTGAAGGTGTAAGGTGGGATGAACTTGAATGAGTTTGCGAACCAGCGTGATCAGACCATGGGAACGAGGTTTTATGGGGTAAAAATAGGTTTTTCTAATTTTTGACCCTCAAAACATAAAATTTCCCAATTTCTCTCCAGGCCTTCTTAAAGAGCTTTAAGAAACAAGTAATTTAGTATATCAAAGTGTTTTTGTACGGTTATTGGTTACGGAGGAAACTCAAAAAATTTTAAATTTTAAATTCCTATGTTATTCTTATGGAGAATATTGTATAATGTTGTAGTTTGCTTGTTTATGTACATATATTTTGACCAAACTTGGCAAATTTATTGATTTTACACTAAGCTATAATTATTTTACTTAAAAACACACTTTATTAGTTTCCTTGTAGCAGCAAACCTACTAGGTACTCGTTAAACCTAATGTTATTTAAATAGATTGATTGAAAATCATTTCAGGCAAATGGAAATTCGCTTAGACGGCAGATTTGCTGCGGCGGGGGTACTTTATTAGTTTATTATCACAAATATAAAACATGACAATTATTCTAAAACTAATTACCTTGTGTCTAAATAGTTACTATTAAACTAGTTGCAACTAAAATTATCAAAACAAATGCAATAAAATGATTGTACATACAAATACAATGCACAGTGTATATAAAAAGTAAACGTAAAAAATATGTATAAACAACTAATTATTGTACTACTGTACTTGGGAATTGTAGTTTTAGAGACTGAGAATAAATTGCTCAATTTATCTTGTGCTAATTCATCAACAAACATTTCATCTGTTAATAGACAAATCACCAACTTAAGATGTAAAAAAACTGATAAAAAAACCTGTATTTTCTTAATATTATTCTAAAACCTATCCTTTGATAAAGTAAAATTAATATAATGAAAGTTTTTGATTAGGTAGCCTACTGCCTTTAGCTTTTTGTTAGTATAGTAAAATTAAATTTTGTGTAAAATCTTTGGTGAATTTGGTACATGAATTAGAAGAGAGCTTCAATATTTGTTTTTCAATCATCTTGCTATCTGTCTCAATAACACTTAGATAAATCTTATCATCTCAATAGTTCACAAATAAGTTCCTAATTATCGATGATGTAAAGTCTAATAAGCTAATTAATAAAAAATAGGTTAAATTTTTGTAGTTGAATAGTAAAATCGTAATTTTGAAATAAAATGACTTTCTTATGGATTTCAGTTTGATAAACCTTTCCTGAAAGTTAAATTTTTTCTTTTACTAAATGAATTTGACAAAAACCATACCACAAATGGATTTAATGTGAAATAGTACTTGGGATCAACTAAATTATCACTATATTCATACTGTAACAACAATATGTATGATATTTACAAAATCTTTAAAAGCGTTTTGTAGTGTATGCTATTTTTTCAACTAAATTCAAATTTAAGAAATATTTCAGTACCAAAATCAGCCGTAAAATTAGTTTTCAATTTAAAATGATTAAAACTCAACATAATTTGAAATACAGTAGAACCTTGATAACAAGACTCTCGTGGGGATTGTAAAATATAAGACTTGTTAAGGTTGACTTCTTATCGAGGTTTGTAATAATGTGTGATTAGGGGTGGAATAATTTTAAGGGTTTTGAAAATGACACTTGTTATCAAGGGCGACTTGTTATCGAGGGTCTTATAAAGGTTCCACTGTATTTATAAAACTTATAGGATAAGTAATACATTTAGTGAATCGTCCCCATGAATGGATTAAGCGTGGGGTGCAGACAATAGAAAAGTCTTCAGTGAATTTGTAGCAAATACCACCAATAAGTGGATCCGTTGAAGTCTTCTAATCAATGTCTATAGAGGACTTAATTTATCACTTGAAGTCAAAGTCCTTAGCGAAGTGTATTACAGAAAGGACTGTATCGACCAAGTAGATAGCTCCAGAGACTATGCATAGACATCCAACGGCGATTCCGATCTGCTTCTCACTACTGACGGTCACGTATTTGTGTTCGTTCTGGTAGCCGGTCCAATAGTGTAGCGCCACTCCTCCGACCGCCACGAACATCACGGTGCCCACAAAGTTCATGATGATATCCTGGAAATTGTTAATAAAGTTAATATATTGTTTGGATGAGAATAATAAATAAAGATCGCCGTATAATGCTCATGAGTTAGGTATACTTAAATGTTCAGAAGATTTTTTAACTGTATCCAAAGTAAACCATTTAAAAATTTTAACGGAGGCAAATTAGAATTACATCAGTTACCAAGGATTGATTTTGCTTGGGAGAATATATAATGTAAAATTTACAGTGTCCAGAAGCAAAGTCAGTCTTAGGTAGTGCAGGTTATTATTAGTAAAATTTGTTAACCCCCCCTCCCCCAAACACCATATTGTTGCTCATGCTCATAGTATGATCATTGCAATCACGGTAACATCTGCCATTATCTCTCACTATTGGGATAACAATCGTGATGCTTTTTAGCTAAGACTTTTAATATTTTCTGTGTGTTTTTACCAACGTGTGGGCCCCAAGGTGCAAGGCCCTGAGCAGCCGCACCTTTTGAACAAACCTTAATCCGGCTCTGTCCAGAAGTAGAATTTGCTATTTTTAAATGTGTGCCATTCAGTCAGTTGATGAATTAGCGGAGAAATAGTGATCTTTTGTTTAAGAGGCAAACAAGTATACTAAGACTAAGTTCAGACATAATCATGCATTGGCAAAGTAAGGACAATTTTGTCGTTGAGGCTTACTTAGACTTTCTGTGATAGCAACTCAGCCTGCCTTCTGGAATCGGGTAATTTAGCTCTGCTAGCCCGGTTCGGTCCATAATCAATTGTTACATGGGCAACTATGTTCAGACAACCGCAAATGTTGCAAGAAAAAGAACTTGACTCCCTCAGCCCTTTAAATCACTTGGGTAAGGTTAAGCTTTAATATGATTGTCACCTTGGCATTCTGCAAACATAGAAAACTACAAAATGGGTAACATTTTGTCAACATTTACCCCTTATTACTCAGAAGTTTTGTGTTTAACCACTAAAAACGTGTTTTATAATAATTTTTACTTTTAAATACTGTGTTTTTTAGTCAAAATGCAACCCAAATTACAAGCACTGTAAGATACTGTTTAACGACAAAACCAGCTTATGTTGGTACCTATCCCACTCTTCTCTACATTTTCTTGCCGATCAGCTGATATGTGTTGTTGCATAGTCAGTTATCTCTGAGGTTTAGTGTTATTGGGAATTTATTGTAGATAAGACTCAACATGCTATTCTCACAAGCTCAAATAGAGTATGTTTTGAAGGTCTACGTTTTTTCCTACAGATCCGGTTTCCATTAACAAATCAATAAATAGCTGATTTTTTAGGTACTGGAATTACATGAAGAAATTGAATTTCAACCCTTGGCTTAAAATCCATAATTTACTTTTAATTTATTCTACTACAATACGTGTACTCTTCGAGCTTGTGAAAACACCGTGTTGAGTCTTATTTACAATAAATCTCAATAACACTAAACCTCATAGATGCAACAATGCATATCAGCTGATCGGCAATGAAGTAAAGAGAGCAGGGATACCAACGTAAACTTTCTATGACGTAAAAAGTGTCTCACGGTGTTAAAAAAACACCCTGTAGTAGTTTTGAGTTATACAACGATATTTTCTATACTTGATAAACGCACAGATCTCCATCTAGTCTTTTAAAAATCATTGTCGTGTGTACCGAACCAAACCAAACGTCAAGTAAGCAAGGCTGAGCGTAAAACGTCATATTAGCGAGAAACATGACCACTGAAAAATCCCCTGGTGCAAGATTATAAAAGTTCCAATTTTGTTTTAACTTACCACAAGGGTCTTTTTCTGCCCTGTTGTTCCAAAGCAGTAAGATATCAAAGTGACGGTTGTGTAGATGAAGAAACCCACAAATACTCCCGATGCTATTATTTCTGCGTCGGGATTTTTCTCTTCGTTTAGGTTCCATGTTCCACCAACACCCAAGAATGCTCCGCCGTAGCCAAATCGATACATCAACAAGATGATTATGTTGATGATCTGTAACCAGAGTAAAAATTAACAATTTTTATAGTTTCATCTGAGTTTTATGAAGACGTGTTAAGTTAAATATATCATAACTCAAGCTATCATTAAATACTAAGGGAACTCTTTAAGCTGTCTAACTTTTAAGAAGTGTTTGTTTTCATATTGTTCCTCATGAATTTTCATGGCTGTTCTTAACAACCATTGTGTCTTGATATGCGTTCAGTGCTTTCGTCATCACAACAGATCTATAGTTACTAACTTTTTGACAGGTTGCATGAAGAATTCTATATATTTTTAAACACTTATTCAAAGAAACAATAAACTCAGTTAATTGATTAAAATAGTCTTGAAAAATCAAATACAGGTGTTCAAACAAAATAAAACACACAAAACATATTATTAGTTTAATATGTACAATAATTTTATTTTGATACGCAATAAACTTCAGTTGACGTTCCGGGACCTTGAGTTCGCTCTCTCACACAATACAACTTGTGTTTACAAAAAAATATAAGTTTAGTACCTAATAAAACTTATTGTATTTTAAGGATTAAAATGCTAAGGTGAAGTTGAATTATCTGTTTAATATTTTTTTATTATTCCGTTTTTGTTTTCAACTAGCCTATAGAATAGGTGGTATTCTTTGCTTCCATATAAAGGATTTTTATTTGGGAACAGGATTTTTAGACTGTGCAAGGGATTTCGGATCAAAAAGAATTTTTGGCTCTGGCGCTTGATTTGATATTTTATTTTACTTCCATATAAAAGTTAACCGGTATTGATTAAATCATCTATTATGCACATTATTATTTGGAAGGTTTAGAGAGCTATTTAAACATGATACATAAAAAAGATCACTCGGAGTATATAACATGAATTTTGGTTATATGGAAGTGGGATAAAACAAAACTTTCTCAACCCTGTAAGAATTACTTTTGTTTTGGTCGTGTGGAAAAACTGCTGTATTAGCTTTAACCATGTTACTATCATATTTTTAGAATATCGGGACGTGAGTTTATAAAAAACCATTCTGTGCTAAGTCTATGAATGTCCTAGAAGGTAATTAGGGTAACATTGCTAAAATCAAACATTTAATTCAACAATGTAAACAGCTGATTCAACTTTATTAGTCATTGTTTAAGGAACAACCCCCAGAGCAAGTGCATTAATAGAATAACCATACTGAGAATAACTGTTAAATTAGAGTTTTTGTTAATAAGTCATTCTGGGTCAGCTGGTTTAGTTATGAGGTTTGAAGGTTCAATGAGGTAATATTATGAGACATAGTAGAACAAAGATAAGACAGGGAGTGCCTGATAACAGATGATAATCCTCTTGACTCTGATAAGCCAAGCAGAACACCTGCCTAGTACATACACTTGATTTCCAGATGAAATAAAACCAAAAGTATTTTAAAAGCGAAATAGAATGTTAATGAAACTAAAATAAAAACAGTATAATCGCTTTTAGTTTGTCTACAATTTTTTTAATTTGACATTTGATTTAGCATGCTTTAGTTGGATACCCCTGTTAAATACCAGATGTATTTCATACTTCCTCTCCATAAAACAATTTATGTGTCACTTAATTAACAGTTGAATTGGTTTTTTCATCAGTTATTAGTAACAACTAGTGCACCTATTGCTCGAATTCGACCAATTGCAAAATGTTGCAGGCGTTATTTCAAAGCGAATAACAGTCATAATTTTCGATGACTTAAAAGAGTCAACTCAAAGATAAATAATCAATCACTCCACTTCAGTTATTGAAACTATAGACAAACTGAACTCACTCTGAAAACTAATGCTCACTCCACTCCAGTTATCCAAACTGAAAACGAACGCTCTTGTTTGTATCATGTATTTACTACGAACAGCTGTATAGTAATTATTACAAATTATTTGTCTGTTTAAGTAAACATAATCTTTTCTTAATAAGAAATACATTGGGATTTTGATGGCCCGTGGGGCAAAGCCTGAGGACTGTTATTGCAGAAATTGGTGAAAGGGGGCGTCTATACAAAAAATACTTAATTTTGACACATCGTTTGTAAAAATCCGTCCATTATTTACGGAGGAGTAGTGTTTTGTTTCTACAAAACATTACTTAAACATGGCCTTCACGTATTATATTTAAAGATGGAGTCATGTGTATGAGTATAATGTTGCTTCTTGTCAGAGAATTAAAAAAAATCCATTTATGCAATATTTTACAAATATTTCAGTTTACACATTAGTAAAACAATATGATACCCATAGGCCCCAATATTTTGTTTAATTGATGTAGTTAGTACAAAAATGTCGAACTCATGACATTGCAGGATTTCTGTTGCAAATAATAGTTTAAGTGCAAATTTTGTAGGAGGAGAACTAAAAATAAGTGGTTTATATAGTGTTATTATAAAAATAGAGGCGGCTTTTCCTAACTGCAGAATATGGCTGCAGAATCGTGAATGCTCTGCGAGTTTTTGCTTTGAGTAGTGCCTGAGGTTCCTGGGTGCAGCTTCTGCTGAATTTGATAGCTAGGAAAATTGCTTTACCCTTGGGGGAAGAATCAAGTGTGGAAACACGCAGACGTATTTGGTAACTAGGAAAATCTGCATTTAGTTTGTAACTTAAGTTTGTCTTATCTGGGATACTACTTAGTTTTGCTTTCGATAAACCTTCTCTGAAACATTATTCTTTCCCATTCACATTTTACTAACATTTTTCGATTTGTGTGCACAACAATAACCTTTAGAGTTTAAATTAAAGTCAAGTTAAACGTTAACTACCAATATCATAAATTTGACGCTAACTATAGATACTACTAATTAGACGTTTTAACTACAACACTTCAATTATAATGGTTCAATGACCACTACAACAAATTTTTATATAGTTGTGAATTTGAAATTTAAATTAAAAATACTAAATATTGACGTTATTACTTCCAATACAAGAGATTTTGATATTTACCAATTTGACCACTTTGATGACGATGGTTGCTATTGACGCTATACTCGGCATGTTGGAGGTTGTACGTGACACACTGTGGTACTTTGGAGTTCACTGGTGTACTGATAAACTAGGAGTACTTGCATCACAGATAAGGCTAGGATAGGTGTGGCAGCTCATCTAGTACCTGTACCTGCTTACTCACACAATCACTACAAAACATTGGAGTGATTCATGAGACATTGCAGTACCCCTCTTTGTCATTAGGTACTTTGATATTTGGACGTCAGGGTTATTTTACATTTCCAATCACTGATCAATAAAACAGAACGTAAACATTGGGTGAATCTTATCATGTCCCATGAGAATTTGTAGTACACATTCTAATTATTTGTAGGATCATTCAGTACATCAGACATAAGTTTGTTGTATATTAAAGCTTGTAATTGAACAAATTTACATCATTTGCAATCAAACCAAAACATTGTGTGAATCATACTGTTTCCCATGAGACTAGTACACATTACAGTTATTTGTAGTACTCACATCAGACATCATAGTATTGTATATAAAAGTTTGAGTAATTGAACAGATTTACAATTTTTTTCAATGAATAATAGAACAGAACCTTAACATTGTATGCATAATTTTGGTAAAAATGTTACATGAAACACGGAAACCTAAACCATGTAGCTATTGTAGTTGTTGTTTAATAAAATACTTCAATACATATACCACATTTAAAATAACATAATTATTGTGTTTATTCTAAATAACCCTAAACAAAAACACATAAATCACCCGTTCCCATTGTTTGATCATTCTGGTTCAGGTTCGCAAACTCATTCTAATAAATGTAGGTTTACACGTTTGTACCAAATTTAATCAAAATCGGGTTAGTTTTGCTCAAGTTATCGTGCAAACGGACACACACACATATATATATATATGAATTTGAAGGGATTGTGTTTTTGACCTCAGGTGACCTCAGAAAGAAAAATTAAATCGGTCCCGGGGACAGGTCTTACCATGAGACATACAGTAATAGCGTATTTCCCATATGGGAAATTTGCTAAAACTAATATAAAGATGAACGGCTGAAGCTTACTCTTTAATGGCTTATTTAACTATGTTCGACTTGAAGGAATAAAATGGCTACAGCTGGTAAATGGCAAGTCTATCTACTTCTCTATACAAAAGTCAATGCTAGTTTACCACTATTCCCACTTATATTCCTCACATCTGCTGTTGTAGGAGCTGGGACTGCAGATTACAGATGCCCAGATAGCAGAGATGAAGTCCCACGTGGAGGACATAGACTTTGCAGCGGCTGCGGAAGAAGAGAAGCTGACACGGCACGATGTGATGGCTCACGTCCACGTGTTCGCCAAGGCTTGTCCTCTAGCTGCTCCTATCATCCATCTGGGTGCAACTTCCTGCTATGTGGGGGATAATACTGTGAGTGTTGTTATTCATAACCTTTTTTAGGGTGATAATCTTGTGATCAGCTGAGTAGCTAATTAGTAGTAGATTAGTGGTCACCTGGTAGTCAGAAGGTTACCGGTTCAATCGTGAGAAAAATCTGTGAAAATAGTTTAAATAAAAAATCAACCCAGCTGTCCTCGATCATTGGGCTTTTAAAGTAATCTTGACTAAATAACCAGCTGATCTTAGTCAGTAAAGAAAGTTAAAATCCTAACCTTGGTGTATCAGCATCGTAGAAAACTAATCTTAGAGACAATAGTTCATTATTTTATCATGTCATTGACACACTATTAAGTGTATTGTCAAATCTTGATCTTCAGGAGATGACTGTGTTGTTGTATTGGTGGACGTCCTGAAAACTAGACAAGCTATTTCTTTATCTAGAATCACTTATCAAGGGCCCATTGATAAAGGATATTAGGCCCAAGTTTCAAGCTAGCAAAAAGTGCTTAAACATTTTCTGAAGGTTGACATAACACATAACCATCTAGTAACACATGCGTTTTATTTCTTTAGACATGGGAAATCCAGCATCAGATCATTGCTCTGTGCTTAATGCTTTGACATTTCTGGGTAATTTGGCGGCAGACAAGCAGTAGTTCTAGTGATTGCTTTTTTGCTTTCAAACCAGAAACGGTTTTATTCTTTATATGTGGACGTTTTTAATCATAAAAGCTATCCTTTTAATTTGGATGGGCTCGAATCCTGGCTAAGACTTGGATTTAATATACCTGTAAACTCATGTACAATTATAAGTTTCAATATCTTTAACCGTTCTGCACGAATCAACTGAATGAATTTGTAACCAGCTCAATTTTCAATGCTGTTTCAGGACCTGATCATTTTGCGAGATGCGTTTGACGTCCTCCTCCCCAAGCTGGCGAGCTGCATCAGTCGTCTGGCTAAGTTTGCAGACTCTTACAAGAGCCTTCCTACCCTTGGCTTTACACATCTCCAGTTAGTATATTTAGTTTTGTAATATCTTAATGAATTTGCATATTCACGATCTTCTTGAGATTTTATCAACCTGTTTTTTAATCCTCAATTACTTCAGAAAGTACGCTCACAAGGAAGGAAGGTTGTCTGTTCACAAGGGAACAGTCTAAACCCTGGTTAACATTGCTATATAAACGTTTACCCTTTTTGTTAGATAGCATCATCAATTGATAGCCCTATGACAAATGACATCTGGGTACAATAAGGATATGCTTGGAATCGAACCAGCGACCTTCATATTTGAAGTCAAGGACTATAACCACACGGCTACCCAGACAATTCCAACAAACAATCTAAAATTAGATTATACAGTTGAACCTCGTTTGTACGAACCTCGATAAAACTAATTCCTCGATAAGACAAATTTTTTTTTTTGATCCCCTTGACACTTTCATATAGGTCAATGCTAAAAACACCTCTCTACAACGTAGTAATTAAGTTAAAAACCTCCATAAGACGAATTTGTTTGTGACATGGGCTAGGACTGATTAACCTCTATACAACGAATATTCTTAGCACAAAACCTCTACAAGACAAACGTGACCTCTATAAGACGAATTTATCATAATCTTAACCTCCATAGTACGTAGTTTTCAAAACAAACAGAAGCTTGTCTCAACATGAAACACCCACCCATCCCTCCTCCTTCCTCAGTCATTGTTTGGAGAAACCTTGGAGCGAGGAGAAACCTCTATAAGAAGAATAACAGCAGCATTAAACCTTGATAAAACGACCCTCTTTATTAAGAATACCTCTATAGTACAAATTTTTCCCATACCCCTTGAAATTCGTCTTATAGAGGTTCAACTGTAGCTTATTTTATTTAGAATTAGTTGATAATTATAGTGTAAATTAAGGCTTATTTGCCTTTCTATCTGGTGGTTAATTTTTTCGGCCAAACCATTATCTGGTCTACACTCGGTCTTGAGGTGGTCATATGAGTTTTACCGTAACAATTTGTTAACCAACTTTTTCAGTAACAACTAGAATGTTTCTCGGCAGATTCGCCAATGAAATTTTGTTTCAGGCCGGCCCAGCTGACGACAGTTGGCAAGCGTGCCTGTCTGTGGCTACAAGATCTACTGATGGATGAGAGAGCCTTGTCCAGAGCAAGGGAGGACCTCAGGTTCAGAGGGGTCAAGGGCACCACAGGCACTCAGGCCTCCTTCATGGCTCTCTTTAATGGTAAGTAACACTACCACATTGAACCTGGCTGAAATAGATGTCTCATAAACGGCAGAGTCCTGTTTTTGCAAACCCTGCTATTTAACAAACTCCCTATTTCAAACTTAAGGTTGAAATATTTTACTTAAAATCGTTAGTACAACTTAGTGAAGTTGTCACAAATGTTGGAATATTTTGCAATGTCACCACGAACATTGAAGGAGCTAGCAGCAAAGTTTGCGATATCGCTGTTTGTGATGTTAGCAACACCGCCGAGATATTCTGGCTATGATTTCACAAACGTCACCAAGGTACTTGAAATTTGCCTGTACAGTAATTTCCTTGAATCAAGTAATGATGTGCTTGAAGATGAACACCTTTTTGTGAATACCATAAATGGAGATTCTGTAGATGACACCTCAAATGTTGATATAACCGTGAAAGTTGGCAATGTTAGATATGTCTTTATGAACGTGTTCAATACACTAGTTGTCGTTGCTGGACCAAGATGCCATTTATTTATTGGGATATCAATTAATGATGGTATGTAACAAAAGGGCGACGTTAAGTCACAAGACCAGGGTTTGGACCACTCACAAAAATTGTGAAAAATTCCAATGGCGTAAATAACACCAAAATAACATCATACGCAATTGTGACAATCACTTTATTCTGAATTCCCGCTTATCCTTACGGGGTACAGTCCATGTTAGTTTGAAATACCGTGGTTCAATTGAATTGTTGTAGCCAGTATTTTACTCAAGATAACATAGATACTGTCTCTATTAAAGTCCTTTTTATCATTTAGTTTTTCATACTATGATCTTTATGAAGGATAACTGTTGTTCTTTTAGGTAATGGTGAGAAGGTGAAGGCTCTAGACCGTCTGGTGACAGAGAAGGCAGGATTTCCTTCAGCTTTCACCATCTGTGGCCAAACGTACACTAGGAAGGTTGATGTGGAATGTGTAGCAGTTTTGGCTAGTCTAGGAGCTACTGTGCACAAGGTAAGATAGTTCTAAGATAGTGTTACAGCCTCTAGCCTCTAGAAATAATATAAATTTGAACAGACGACTAAAATTACCCGTACACCAAGATGGTGAGTGGCTAACCCATTTACTGGTCTAGCATTTTACTGGAGAGTGAAAGTCTTCTTATCTGAAGAGGAAATAGTAGGAATTGGTGGAGTGGAGGCTAGGATGCAGATAAGCATTCAAGTATCTACTGTTCAACTACAAGCACAAGAAAAATGAGGCTGTCAATCTCCACAAGAACAACCTTTAAACTGTGACAGACTTGACTTGACCAAAAAAAGTGTGTGGACATATAACGAAAATAAGAAAAGTGAGTGAAGATGACTGAATATTACTATGATTATTCAATAATTGTATTTTAATTTTGTTAATTTTCAATAACTTGCAATGTTTATTTCACTTCCAGATGTGCTCAGATCTAAGGCTGCTGGCTCACATGAAAGAGGTGGAAGAACCGTTTGAGAGCACTCAGATCGGGTCGAGCGCAATGGCTTACAAACGCAATCCCATGCGCTCGGAGAGAGTGTGCGCTCTTGCACGTCACCTGATCACACTGCAAAACTCTGCACTCAATACGGCTGCCACTCAATGGATGGAGCGGACTCTTGATGATAGTGCTAACAGGTGTGTTTTAGAATTGATTTACTGTTAAAATACTGGATGCATCCAATAGTTCTAACACAACAGCTCCCTACTCAGAAGGTGGGACCTAGCTTATCAATACATTACTGACTCCAGAAACCCTCCTAACCTTAACTTAAGATAATCCACCCACCCTTTTCCTCAGCTAGCTTCATATTTTTCACAGAAATTTTAATATGTATGTATATAGATGGGCATAGCAACAGGAATTTTATTTAAACTTAAACTACAGTTGGCAGCATTGTAATGGATCTTTTAAATTCGAACTTAAACTGCCAGTCTTCTTTCTTCTGATGAAGTCCCCAACAGGGACGAAATATCTTGATTATTTTTGTGTTATGTGTTTTATGTGTGTTACCAAAGCTAATGCCAGTAATGCCAATGTAATTGACTCTTAAATACCATGTAAGCTAGCTGATTCATATCCCTGTACATAATACTCCTAATCAGCCAATTGGATTTTCTTTAAGTTCTAACATCCATTTAGTTGAATCAAATGAATGGCAGTGTTGGAGGAAACGTTGCATTTAAAAAAATGCAAACCATATTTGTGTAATAAATTGTCCTTGAGATAGTCAAACTTTTTTGTTTTTCATAAGTTATTTACACTTAATTTTATAAGCCTTACAGTGTATTTTTCTGGTACCTATTGTAAACGCTTAAAACTATTTTCTAGTACAGTAGAACCTCAATAGTTAGACACCACTGAATGAACTATTGACTGGTGTCGAACTATTGAAATCTCGAACTATAGTGAGTAAATGGAGTTTAATATACAGAAAAGTAAAAACACAAGTTTTAGGCCTATATATAAATAAACCCCAAATTTATTAAATACTAAAAAGCTTAACAATTTCACTCTTCATTAGTCTCAAGTCAACAATAAATTACAAATTAATTTACTTAATTTATTAATTTAATTTATTTATTATTTTAATTTATTTATTAATTTAATTAATTTACAATTAACTTTTATCAGTACAGTTCACCTTTGTACTGTACCGGCTCACCCCTTGCTTTGCTGGATACGTTCCACACACAGATCTGTAGTCTATGTGGATGGGCAAATCCAAGGTACAATGGTAACCATTATATCACTTGACAAAATAGCTCAGCCCATGTCGAACTACAAGGAGTGTTGAACTATCGAGTGTCGAACCATCGAAGGTTTACTGTACCTACTCAAATAAGAAAATATAATAAATAAATATAAAAATGTTCTAATATAAATCTGGAGCAAAATCATGGAATATTTCAGGCACCTGACATTTTCAAATGCGTTCTGAGCTCAATTCCTGGAATTTTACAGGAGGTTGACTCTGTCAGAGGCGTTCCTAGCTGCAGACAGTGTACTGATGACTTGTCAGAACATCGTGGAAGGACTGGTTGTCTACCCCAAGGTGATAGAGCGCCATGTACGCCAAGAATTGCCTTTCATGAGCACCGAGAACATCATCATGGCTGTGGTCACGGCGGGGGGAGATAGACAGGTTAGTAACTACTTACTTGTCTTTTCAACATTTTTGTTTTTTCTTTTGTGATGAGAATATCCATTGCATTAGATACCAGGGGAGAGTAACAACTCATAGTTGAAACTACAGTTTGTGTGATATTTACTTGTTAGATGCTTGTTACCATTGGTACAAAAGCAAAACTCCAAGAAACAAAATGTGCCATAGCTATCATAGGAGAAGAGGATTAAAACAAACTGAAAAACATTTACTGGATTGAAACAAATCCAAGCAACAAAATACATTTAGTTGACTAATTCACACAAATTATTTAAAACTCCACTAAAGTAATTTCAAATCATGCGTTGTGAGCCTAGTTATTATAAGGGTCTCGTACTTTGATAACTAACCCAACCTAGATATTAATTACATGTTGTAAAATTCCGTTCTCTATACCTCTATAATTTTCAAACCACTAATATAGTAGTTTACGCAACGATTGGGTAAAGATAGTGTTAACGACACCAGTAGAAAATTTAAGCCTTAAACTCTACGAGTGTTTACTTCTAGTAGGTACACTACTTTACCTACGACAGTGTTTTAATTACTAAAAATCACTACTCATAACTTTTAAGAGAGTGTATGTTTTCCTTTATAACCTCTCATTGCCACTGAACATACATACTCATACAACTAAACATTGTACCAAACACTAATTGCACCACTCAACAATCAAATTGGCCATCGAGCTCATGCTGTGGTATATTAGTGGTGTATTAGTGTTGTTGTTGTTATATATTTAACAGCTGATTAGTTGAAGTTTGAATCATTAAAATTTTACTTCTTCTCTCTCAATCCTTGAACCTCATCGTTCTGTTACCTGTGTTGTTATGAGTACTATGCTGTTATGAAAGTAAACAATGCTGTTATGTGAAACTTTTAAATTCTTCAAACTGAACTGAAATGGCTACTTTAAAAAACGGTCATAGGTAAAATAAATTAACTTTCCCCAACAACAAATTTAACAAAATATAAATTCTGTTAAAGTTTTCAATCTTCTTCGCCCCTATCTCCAAACACTACATTGAGTATGATATGCACAGGTTTGTCACGAGCATATCAGGGTGTTGTCCCAAGAGGCTGGGATGGCCGTCAAGAGGGACGGACTTGACAACGACCTTGTGGACAGGATCAAGCGACATCCTTACTTCCAGAACATTCTTGACCAGCTGGACAACCTACTGGACCCATCCACTTTTGTGGGACGTGCTCCGGAACAGGTATATAAACTCCTAGAACTTAGAACTGTTTAACATTTGTTAAACGTTAGTTTTTTTTTTCTCATATTAGGAACGAACTGCTGCAATACCAACATGAAACGTTTTTATGGTTCTTAACAATTACATTGTTTTATTTCAGGTATCCGAGTTTTTGCGAGACGAAGTTCTGCCTGTACTAAAGAAATATGAAGGCAAAATCAGTGAAAAAACAGTCGAGTTGGAAATATAGTTGTTAAGTTATATGACATATATTTTAATAATTGTTATATTTGGGCTATATACACACAATATATTAAAAAGTTATATTGTTACTCCGTAGTTCATTTAACCTATTTCTACCACACTGGGTTAAAATAATGTAACACTTGAGTGTTAAGTTATGTTTTTATTTAACAAAAACATAAAAAGGTTATTTTACAACTTTGGTTCTTAAATAAATAAAGAGCAATCTTAAAACCTGACAACTTAAACAATATACAGTGCCTCCTTGAGATTTTAACTTGGAGAAAATTCCTTCCTGTTTCAACTTGCAATATCACAGTGCAAAACTAACACTACAATATTTCTAGAGATTCTTTAAAAAAATATAATTCAGATTTATTATTCATAGGATTTATCTTATCTAGTAATAGTTTTTACTAAAGGGTTACTTATATCTAAAATTTTAGTCACAAGTAATAACTAAATAGGCCTAGTCTTACAACTATTTGTACTACAGTAAGTACATTTATGGAATTCCCTTTTTGTGTATTTACAATTTATAACTTACCTACAACAATTACTTATCACTATCAGATAATTGTCGTTCATAAAATAAGTTCAATCGTCCACACATAAAAACAAAATAACTAAAAGTTTCAAAAATCATAACAATTTATTTCTGTTTGATCATTAAGTCATCGAGAAAGTTAATTTAAGCCATTTTTTGTCATTTCATTACATTCTTGCAGAAATAAATTGGTTCCTTTCATCCCTAGTTGAAAAAAAGAATCAATCAAAATCAAGGATAGCTGTACATTTTTCTCACTTGTAATCTTTCGTTATGTATATTCTTATATACCCTATCGAAAGTAGTTATTGATTGCTATTATTGGTCTATTATAGTCTCATGATCGTATATTATGCGACTATTATTGTCACAGTCGCTCTGAAGTCTGAAGTACACTATTATTTCTTATTATCCCTTTTTGCCGAATGGCTGTCTATGTATAACAACCATGAGGTTAGATTTTCACTATTTTATTTTTTTGTCACTGTGGTTGCTTTTTAAGCTGTACCTAAAATTGCCCAACGCAATTGAAAAGACCAAATATTTTAATATTTTAATAACAGTGATTGGTGTAATGCGCAAAAACTAAAATGGAACCAAATTAAAAAACTAATTCGAACGGTGTAGTACGACAAAAATAGTTCTTCACACGAGCTAAATTTGGCTTATCGCTCATTTTCGGCTAAACTTGAACTTGTGTGGCAAAGCGCGTGATGCCTTAGTGATGAAATACACAAGTAAGTCAACTTTTAAGTATAACTCAATAATAAAATGATTTGTAAAATCCATAGATTAAAATTTCTCTGGTCAAACTATGAGCTAGGGGGAGGGGAACTATAGACTCCGGTGAACAAGATGGTTTGGCTCTGCGCGTCGTAGAGCAGATAGACGAACGGATGGTTGCAGATAAACATTGCGACATCAAGCGGCCGAGACGAGCGGAAGGTAAAGAATGCAGTGGCGGCTGCGGCTGTCGTTCCTTCCTCGTCTACTTGTATCTTGGCCTTGTGAACTGCGTCGTCTAGCTGGATACCTGGGGACCCTGTGAGCTCGCTCAGGTCTGCGGAGGCGTTGAATAAGTCACCGACTCCCAGCGTAGCCAAGATCTGAAATAAAATGTTCTATAGAGTCAGGGCTCAGCTTTCCTTTATCATTGGGCTATTAATAAAGAAACAGCTGGTATTAGTCAGTAACAACTCACTCTTCATTCACATTCAGCTTAAAATACACACCAAAGCATTTGTAGCTGCTTTAAAAAAAATAATTGAATTGCTTTGGGCATGATGATCAGCAGGGTAAAGAACTTAAGATGTTATGTGAGGAGCTTATAGCCCTAGATTGACTCCTAGCCTCCCTCTCCAGCCATAATTACGTTACAAATTTGACTAGTGAAAATATTCCAGAAATGATTTTCTATATAGCTAGTTATATTTAGGTAATTTAGGTAGTGATGTTAATTTAGGTAGTGATGTTTTGTGTCCCTAATCCCTATTACTGGATTAGGATGGTTTTCTGGAGCTCATTCTGTAGCTACAAGTTAAGTTGTCCATCCAAAAGGATTCCAGAAACAAATCCTTTCTACAGATCTTGAGCCTAATGAGCTCAGATAAAAAACTTGAAATATATTTTTTGCCTCTACTTCTGGCCCCATATTGGGTTTATCCTCCATCCCTATTAACTTTACAAAGTTAATACTTAGCTAAACTAAGTTACTAAACTACTATGTAGCTAAACTTCAGTTAATGGTTAACTTTACAAAGAAAGTAGGGTTTCCAGAAACAATATTCTATTGAGCCTGAGCTTAATAATATACAGGTAGAGAATATTCTGTTCCCTTGCTCCTCCAAGCATTGTTTCCTACAGCCCTCCCTCCAGCTCCAAGATAATGTTCCCTCCTTTACAAAGCTAAACCAGCAGGATGAGTTCCAGGCAAAAAAGGTTAGGTAAGTTTTGAAATTATATTGTAGAAACTATAGATTATTCAATGTAACATGGAAGTTTTAATAAAATTTACATATCTTTGCAAGCAATAAATGAACCTTGGCTTTGAGAAAATGAATTAGTTTTTCTATGGAAGGTTCAACCCTTTGGTAAAATTTTTTCACCAGCAATAACCTAGTTTTAAAAAATCTACTCACCGGTACAAGCTCGAGTGAGCTTTCCACACTGAACTTTGGCATTCCAACTTCGACCTCGCGAGGCACCATAGCGTCTTCGGAGAGTATCTCGCGCAGGTTGTGAGGCGTGAGACGGCGCAGGATGTTGGCAACGCCGCGCGGCGCAGCATATGGCGGTAGGAACACAAACATGCTGATGGCGCTGCCTTTGTACGGCAGTTGTAGAACGTGAGCCCCTAGCGCTTCTGAGACCACTGTAATAGAACAAGAGTTGTTGAGGAATGAAGACTAATGATTAACATATTGGGATATAGTGTTGACAAGTTAAAATCATTGTAAAAACTATCCACGTGTAGGTTTGGAAGATGTATTAATGAAACAGTTCCTTTAAACAGTTGTAGCAATTGACTACTAGAAGTAGGGGGGCGAAAACCACCCAAAAGCCATGAAGTGATATAATGAATAAAAATTACATTAATTTATTGATTTACTTCTTTAAAGGTTGGGGAGTGGCCACCCCCATGCCCCCCAATCACTGCAATGTTCTTCAACCACTAGTTTGTTTCTGTTCACAACTATTTAATACTAAAATTTGTCTGCTATTCTTTTGAAAGAAAAATGTTTGGAAAAACAGGTACTGTAGTGTAAAACTGAGAAAGTCTTATTAAGTTAAATACCCCCGCTGCAGCAAACCTGCCGACTAAGCAAATTTCCATTTGTCTGAATTGATTTTCAGTTAAATATATTTTAATAACATTAGGTTTAATGAGTACCTAGGTTTGCTGCTACAAGGAAACTAATAAAGTGTGTTTTTGAGTAAAATATTGATAGCTTAGTACAAAATAAATAAATTTGCCAAGTTTGATCAAAATATATTCATAAACAAGCAAACTACAACATTTGACAATTTTCTCCATAAGAATAACATGGGAATTTTAAATTTACAATTTTTTTAATTTTCTCCGTTACTAATATTCGAACAAAAATACTTTTATATACCAAATTATTTGTTTTTTTAAGCTCTTTAAAAAGGTCTAAAGAGAAATTGGGAAATTTTGTGTTTTGAGAGTCAAAAGTGAGAAAAACCAATTTTTACCCCATAAAACCCCCCGTAAAGCCCCGTTCCCATGGTCCGATCGTGCTGGTTTGCGAACTCATTCAAGTTTATCCCGCTTTACACCTTTAAACCAAATTTCATCAAAATCGGACAAAAATTACTCAAGTTATCGCGTTCACGGACGTATATATATATATATATATATATAAGTCTATATATATATATATATATATACATATATAAAAATTTGAACGAATAGTGTTTGTGGCCTCTGGGGACATCAAAATGAAAAAGTAAATCGGTCCCGGGTCTAGGTCTTACCGTGCCACCTACGGTAATAGCTACTTCCCTATAGGGAAATTCGCTAAAAAACCATATTAGAATGTTGCAAGTCCAGAGATTGAACCGTTTCCCTTACAGAAAAAAAAAACTGCAAGGGAAATACACAAATCAAGAACTTCCTTGTATCAATACTCTTTTTTGTATCAAACATCAAGAAATATTTTATGAAACCGAACCACGCTATGATATTCAAAACAGGTTCACTGTACTGGTGTACTCACAATGATTGAAAGTTCCCTTCTGCCTCATCATGGTAACTAGAGATTTCTCTGTGCTGCTGATGAAGAATGTTTCCTTTTTCGACTTAGCCGGAAGAAACCTTGACTTCCACAAGCCCTTGAAGTAGGCAGCATTTGCCTAAAACGGAAAATATGAATATTTTGAAAAAAGATTACAAAGGTAAATAAACTGTGGAACAAATAGTTTTTTAAGAGACTCCTGGACTCCTCTAAGGTCCTTCTTTATCGCTCCACATTGTAGGGAATAGAATCCCCTTGCTTTCTTATCTATCTATATATTAATAGGCAAGCATGTTTCTTTAAAACCTTTTTTCTCAGCTCGTGTGCATCGTAGGGAAAATCTACGCATACTGTTAGAAAGCTATTTTCCTGTAGGTGTGCAGAATCCCTTTATAAATTAAAATAGGCTCAAAAATAAGCACAAAAAATGAATTTAAAATTTTGAAAAATTTAACATCTATATATTAATAGGCAAGCATGTTTCTTTAAAACCTTTTTTCTCAGCTCGTGTGCATCGTAGGGAAAATCTACGCATACTGTTAGAAAGCTATTTTCCTGTAGGTGTGCAGAATCCCTTTATAAATTAAAATAGGCTCAAAAATAAGCACAAAAAATGAATTTAAAATTTTGAAAAATTTAACATGGATATTATGAGTTGCCATGCTGGTGACGAAATAACAACGAAATATAAACAGAAAATCAAAACAAATGGAAGAAACTGCAATCACATGTTCTATTCAAAGTGTGGAATGAAAATAAAGAAGTCTGTACATTAAATTAAATATATTTAATACGCAAGCACGATTTTTGTGACAATTACTCCTCCGAAACTACTGAACCGATTGGCATGTTTTTGGTGTCATTGGAAAGAGCGTAACGTGAAGTTGTGCAAGAAACTTTCTTTTTAGGTAAATAATTAGAGAGTGAGGCCCTGGGGCCCTTTAAAGTTTCGTATTCCTCCATAAGATTTAACATGGGAAACAAACATTGTTTTGAAACTCCAGCTGTTGTCAGAAATTAAATATTAAATAATTGGTCTCCATGGAAGCATGAGAAAATTCACAATGTTTACATTTGCTTTGACATTTTATTGTAAACAACTAGAACTGTCAAATCTCTATTTAACAAATTCCGACAGCTGATCCAAAAAAAAAGTATTTTCCTTTCACCATGTAAAACAACTATGTGGTAGGTTTATTTAATCTTAAAATTTATGATAGATTATTTATTATAAATCGATTTCAATGATTATGAAACAGATTTTTCCCATTGCGAAGCAAAAATTAATAGTGTGAAGAAGAACATATGTAAAACAGTCATTGTGTAAATTATCTATGTTGTATTAAAAATGTGTTTAGTTTTGGATGTTGGTTTGTGTTAAATGATATCGGTGATTAGTTATTGCATTTTTATTCTAAGGATTTTGCATATGAGTAAGCCTATGATAAATAACACCATTTCAGAGTTCTGCCAGTTTTTGCCTAACTCTATCCTGTAGAGTTTAAAGTAGCATACACCTTATTGTCTACATATTGGCCAAACAACTTGGGTACGGTACTTTATAAAAGCTGATAGCCTTTTTACGTTGACTTAAATTGTAAGCTTACCTTTTCCCGTACGTGGGCAGATTGATTGTTAAAAATTAACCCTTTAAACTGGAATAGGACTGTCATGAAAATTGTGAGTATTTTTATCAGTCAATAATATTTTAGTTGACTCTTTTAAAATCATCAGAAATTATGACTGTTATTAGTTTTTAAACAAGTTATTTGTTTATAAATAACTTCTGTACTTCTTTGCAATTGCTCGATTTCGAGCAACATGTACACTAGTTCATTTAATTACATGAAAGACAATACACATTTAATTAAAGACAGCTGATTTTAACAAACATTCATAATAAATACTAAATAAGCCATCAGCTGTTGATTCCTGATAGAATATTAGGAGCCTTGAGAACCTCTCCTTTAATTGTCAAGGTTATTTTGAGAAGCGATTTTGCAAAATGTGGCCCAAAGAGCTACCTGAAAGTAACTAAGAAATACTACTTGTAGATGAAATACTCTATGGGTTACTTACAAGGACCAGTTTGGCAGTTGGGCTGAGGCGGCCAGCAGGAATCAGCTGTTGAATATGACCTCTAGTGTGGTTTGACACCCAAGAGTTGATATGGTCTGTTGCTGTGTTCACGTCACCTTCAAAGTCCAACTGAAATCACCAATTAAAATTTAAAATTCAATTAGATTTGTTTGGGCAGTACAGACTCTTACATATACAAAGCTGCTGATTCTGTATGAGGAGTTAGTGTAGAATGGAGTGAGATAATCTGTACAGCGTTGACAGTGACACTGACAAAGATCAGCTGTTGCGTAGCCAAGACCGTTTATTGAACACCTAATATTCAAGGAAAGCCGTTTCCAGTTTTAAACATGTTACTATCTCACATCAAAACTTATGTTGGATACTAAGGATGCGGATATATTTAAGACATTGAGGGCCTAGGTTGTAGGGATTTTTGTTAGAATAGGTTTATCGGGATGTGAAAGAGAGTTCATTCTGGCACGAAAAACCCAAAAAACTGTTTACCATACTTAAATATAAGAATATTTATTTTCCACTGGAACAATGTTCAAACAAATGTTTCAGTTTACATTTAATTTCTGTTTTGAGGAAGTAAGTGATGTTTGGCAGCGTAGTCATCATTGTTTAAGAACTGTACATTTACATCATCATTTATTGAAGAACTTTTATTCAACCATGTCCATCTCAAGCCAACCTCTATTACTCATTAGTTTTTCCAAGGAAAGACTCTAGGCAAGGATCTTGAATTGTAGAATGAAGAGATAGCAGCTAGTTTATCTCATAAAAAGTAAATGAAGGCCATAGAACACACAGAAGACAAATAAAACCCAACATTTTGTCCCCGGAGGGACTTTTTAAGCATAGATAAAGAGCTCTATGTTTGTTACAAAATACAAAGAGACGTGCAAGAATTACAGAATTCTAAAATGAACGCCTAAACCCACCTTTTCCATCTCCTGCTGAAACAGTGTCTGCATGCATTCCCTCACTTCCAGGTTCTGAGACACAAACAGATGATTTGCATTAATCAGCTGATAACTATCAGAACTGTTCATGGCCCTCATCTGGTCCAGCAGCCATTCTGCTTTGTAGGCTTCCAGAACTTGCACTTTGGTCTGCAACAATAAAATCCACCATTATTGTCACTTAATCTCTTATTCACTTTGATTGCAATGAATTTGTTGTACACATTTTGTAAAGTGAGAGAGATATGTGAGGTTCACTGACTAAGACTAAGATCAGCTGTTTTTTTTTTGTTTTTTTTTTTGGACAAGACCATTAAAAAAAATCCATAATGATCAGATCAACTGGGTCCAGTTTTGAACCATCAGAAAGCTACACACTTTTCTCAGGATCGAACCAGTGACTTTATTGCTAGGCAAGCATGATAACCAGTCAAGTACTCTAGCTGGGTTATCAGGAGGCTAATGCTTGCCTGGTTTCGTTTATTTTTATTTTTATGATAAATACAATCTTTCCAGTGACCCAGTTTTAATATCATGTCAACATAACCACTTTTATACACTACTGTTTATAGATATATTTTGATCGCTGGAAGGGAATAACTTAATGATAAACAGACAAGAAATACATCATTTAGCAAATCATGTTGATACTATTTGTTATTTATTCTATGAAAATACTTCACTCCATGAAATTTGTTTGCTTTTACAATGAACACATGATTATTTGTTTCCTGTTTTCCCAAAATCTCATGACAATTATCGAGCAGCATTGAATTTCATATTTTGTTTTAGTACTGTTTTGTAATGAAGAAAAAATTGCAGACTGATACATTAAACATATAACTTAATATATATCCAAAATAAAACCCATAAAGGTATTAAATATCCTACAGCTGTTAAAATTTGTAGTTTTATAGGCCAATAATGAGTGTCACACTGCACATAAAACAGGTGACACCATTGTTGTGACTTGTGTCAGCTGACCTTGTATGTTACATGGTTACCAACACTGCCAAGTAATGTCCCACATTGGGGTCAGCCAACCATATACGATCCTGGTCATTCATTGATTGAGGTTCTTGGAAAATTGCCGAATAGTCATACAACAACCAAAGAACTTCGCAATTAAATATATTTTTAATCTATATCTGCAATACACAAGGGACTTAAAAATTAACTTTAAAAGTTTCTACCGGTTTTAATTTACCTACTTCTTAATGTTATTTGTATTCTAATTAAACATAAAAGAACATTAATTCTAGTTGTCCTGTGTAGTATAAATATTTTTTTTTTTTTTTAGGATTTGGTGTGTTGAAATGAATTTATAGGGAATTACTAAAAAAGTATTGATGTTCTACAAATACTGTATAGTTAAAATCTCAAATCTGTTCATCACAGAGTAGTTTTTTTTTTCAATTTTTCCAAACATGGTTTCCTTTTATTCCCACTATTTAATACTAAGGTTGACCCAAAAATCCTTTCTCTTTGCTAGAGAAACCCAAATGTCGCTATGTTTTGTTAGTAAATGTGCCATGTCTTGCATACATTTCACAAAAATTTAAATGCCAGTATGGTAACTTAGAAGGGTACAGAGTATTATTGTAAATTTAGATAATTTTTATGCACTATATAACAGAAGAATAATGTTCTCGCTCCATGAGTAATATTATATTTCAATATTACATTTGATATGGTGCCAATACATGCACAGATTTGTCTGTGATACACCTAACAATTCACAGCCCATGATCATAAAAATTTTCAGTGTTGTGTTAAAGTAGTCCTTTGTTTTAGAAAATTCCCAATTGAATGATGAGTTGAACACTCAAAAGAAAAGCCCTATGCAATTCTGTAATACCTGAAGTCTGTCAATGATGAAAATGTTTTGAAATTATTCCCAAGAAATTGTTAGTGTCTGTTTTTTTTCATTCTATTAAGTCTTGTTTGTTCTTAAGTTAATAAACTTAACAGTAAACAGAGTATGTACATGAGAACGCACTAACATTGCACTTGTTGCAGGTTACCTTCAAATGGGCTTTATCTTGTCCAAGAGGCTGATAAATCTAGGCAATGTTTAAGGACTTTGAGTTTAGTTTGAGTGGTTGGTAAACGCCTGCAAAGTTTGCAAACAGAGTAAAAAGTAAGTTTTGCTTTTCAGGTTTGGAACCGAGAACTATGTTTTACATTGCATACAATTAAAAGAGTCAAGATATTTACTGAAAAACCCATAAGGGCATCCTCACCACTTACACATTATCTATGGGGTTGTAAGTTATACACTGAATCTATAAGAAGGTATGTTCTACCTGCTACAAAAACCCACAAACAACTCACCATGTTCTCAGGCAGATACAGCGCCTTGTGCAGGTTTCCTTCAGTATGGTTTGAGCTGACGAAGTACGCCAACAACAGAGTGCTGTAGACACTCAGAGGGGAGAAGAATAAGTTGGCTTGCGGCTCCAGTGAGTTGAGACTCTGCAGCATCGAGAGAGCAAAGTCCAGCTGGCCTGTGTATAATGGAGCTGGGGCGGAACCAGCCGGAGTGTCTTCCGGGGAGAAGCATTGGCCCCTCACCAGGGGAAGTGCCACTAGGCACGCGGCTATCACCAACTGTGAACAGAGAGTTAGATTTTTAAAAAGTTTTTATTTGGTAACAGCTTGAAAAGGTTTTAGAGAATCCAAAAGTTGACATGTGAAGTGAAACTTTTCAGGATCTTTTGTGACCAAATCATGTATTTGTTTTTTTTAGGAACACATCGAGGCGAGTGAGATGAATGGTAGATTTGTTGTTGAATAACATCAGCTGTTTCCTTAGTTAGGACATTATTTAAAACTCAATATAGGTAGAGTAGTTTTGAACGATCAAAAAGCTACTGTCAGTTTTATCAAGGTCGAAAAGGGGATCTTCTGATTTTCATCTGCACCACTCTGCCTCAGCAGCAGGATGTGAATTATAGTCTGTATAATAGAACCTGATGACCATCCATCTGCCTTGCACTGAGCTGGGCTTTAAACCATTGACCAGATCTCAGGTTGACTGAAGACAGGTTCCATCATATAGACTATAATATTGAAATAAAACATTGTATATTGGTTAAAATTAAAACATCTCCTGGTACTTGTATACTTGTATTGGATGTTCACTCAATAATTAGAGACTTCCCCTTGGCCTTAGTGAGGTGGATATATACCAAACCCTCCCCCCAGCTATACAAAGATACTTCATAAAGTACCATATTCATTTAAGATGGGGACCACCTATGTGCATATTTTAACCCAAATATGAGTGAAGGATGAGTGTAGAATAAGGTGTGATGCCTTAAGTAGTTACTAAGATCAGCTGTTATATTAATTAGTCAGGACCATTTATTGAAAGCCCATGATCTACGACAGCTGAGTTCAGTTTCGAACCATCAAAACGCTACACACTTTTCTCTGGATTGCAACCAGGAACCGGCAACCTTTTGATTACCAAACAAGCACTTTAGCTATAACCTTTAAACTACCTAGCTCCTCGCTCATTTTTACCAGGAGACATGGAAAATTTGTTTTAACTTAGGGAAAACATTATTATCATGGCAATTGATGAGAATACAAAGTAGCCTACATATCCTTATTCCTTATAGATCGTTTTGTTTGACTATCTTCTGAAATGGGTAAACTCTTGGAGCAGTTTTAGAACATTTTGTCCCCTTCACAGCCTCAGATACCGATAATAAAAGTGTAAGGCAATAATGAAAAGTCTACAAATGTGCTCCGTCACTCCACCAATCTTACTGAAAGGTCTAACTATGTTTAAACACATCAATGTTTGCTTGCACAAGTTAACCGGCGAAAACACCAAGGTCCTGGCCTCATTGTCAAGATCCTGGTGGTTCAGGTTTCGTTCACCTCAGCACCCGCGTTACAACATACGAAGGTGGAGGCGATGATGAGGCAAGCGCGGCGTCCTACCATGTAGCCCGTGTGTCGTGCGGGCGAAGTGAAAGTGGCCGCTTTCTTCTCCAAACCTTTATCACCGCGGCCACATGGGTTTACCAGATGACGTAACACGCGTGCACTGCGCAGCCTAGAGATGCGCTGTAAAGATGATACTGAGCAGCGCTTGTAACCAGGAAAGTTGTTGCATTCTTGCAAACCTTGGAACTATTTTTCTAGTTTATCGTTGGGACGGTAATCATAAAATTTAAGGGAAATTACGTTTTGGAATAGAACAATTTCGTTTTCAGAATGGTTTTGTGTTTACCTTGTCTTTGCCTTAAAGTCGTAATTTTACCACGACTATTAAACACTTTTAAAGGATGCTTGTGAGCAAAATAATAAAATTCATATAACTAACCTAAAAGGAAACGGGTAACTTCATACAGACTACAGACATATATTTGTTCAAATACCATTCTGACAAGACATTTATGTTATACATTTTGTTGTAAGGCATTTGAAATTATTGCTATGAAATAATAAATATCCAAATCCCAAAGAACAAAATTAAGCAATCATGTCCTGAACAGTTATTTAAACTAGTACCGGTACTGTTACTGGGTGTTCGGCCTAGAGGTTCTAAGTGGAAATTTATTTAATACTCGCCGCTTATAGATATATTTTTATACTTACTCTATTTACTGATTGTACCAAACCCTCAATTGAATCGACGAGAAAAGGAAATGACGTTTCAGCTACTGTACTAAACCGTTGTGTTTATTTTAATGCGTATTTTTACTTAATCCCGACACAAAATCGTTTCTATCCACTGGCTGGTGTAAATTTGCACAATAATCTGTTCGTGGTTAAAGCAAAGAAAATATTTTAAGGACGAAAATACTATTTTACTATCTAATGCTGAAACCGCTTCTATCTTATCATTAACCGCTTCTTGGGACATTCTGACGCAAAGTAAAAAACCTCGAAGTCATCATAACGAAATCCTAGTTTATATTCGTAAAAATTCATTCAGTACAATCATAGACATTTAATTAACTAATACTTCGTAATCGTAACTTCCCGATTGTTATGTCAGCTCGCCGATTTTAAAAGTATCTTAATCTCTAGAGTAATTAAATAAGTAATGCCATATAACCGGTTTAGTAACATCTGTGTCAGTAACGACCATGCACCAGTCGCAAACTTGTAGAACCAGTCACTTAAGTTTTATCAGTTGCAACAACTTCAAGGTCAAGGTTAATCTTTAACGATTTCTTATTACAATGCTGCTATAACCGGCTTTGATTAGTCATTTTGATGCTAAATTTGATCTTTTTGTACCAAGACAATATCAGTTGCAACAACTTCAAGGTCAAGGCCAATCGTAAACGATTTCTTATTGCAATACACTTTTCTGAAAAGTCAGTAGCTTTTTGATGGTTCGAAACTAGACCCAACTGTTCCTGATCATTGGGCTTTAAATAAATAATCCTGACTAATGAAACCGCTGATCTTAGTCAGTAACAAAGCTACACAGGTCATCACACACCATTCTACACTCATTCTTCACACATATATATTTGGGTTAAAATACGCACCTAGGTGGCGTCCCCATCTTAATGATTGATAATCGATAGCCTAAATTGTATACAAAACATATACAGTATACGGAATATTCATACCAACAGCGTAGACCAACGGTTCATGGTTTTATAATTACATTCAACATTATGTCCCCTATGACAAATATAGCGCATCCTCTTCAATCCCCTTTGATTATACCTCCATGCTCCTCCGTGCAGAAATACTGACCCTAATATAGGCTCGTGTCACAACGAGCCTTTGCGTTGTGCAAGTTGTTATGGTAAAGCTATTTCGGTCATTTATGCAAGCTAGGTTATGTCATGCTCATGATTTTATACCTGTACAATTCAATTGCAAAAAAGTTAATTGACAAAAATAAGTTATAACCTTGACATTTGAGGTGTTGTTTATATTTATTTCACGGTAAAAACCCTTTTATTTTAAACAAAGAATCCAAAAACCATCATTATACTTTCACTGCAGTAAGCATAATTACGGAGTTACACAGGGCTATATTCTAGGACCTCTTTTTCACAATGTTTACAGTTTTATCTAGCATCAGCAAAATGACGAAAAATATTTGTGTATACTGGTTGTTTCGATAAATATTTTAAATAAATAGTGGTAAAGAATAAATCCTACTTATTACCTTAAAATCATCCAAAGAGGTTTTTAGACACATTCCAAAACTATCTAACTCCCTCTATGATTTGGGACAACATTCTCTCTCTTCAAACCCAAATTCACGGAATCAGTTAAGGGTGGTTTGCGGACTCTTTCATATTGATGGTGTTTGCTCGTTACATTATTTGATCAGAATCGAACGATTTTCATGACTATTATAAACAAGTAGAACGTGTGTATTTAAGGAAGCCTTCAAGAAGGCTACAACCATACAGGATCTAGGTATACAACGAATACCGCTTTAAAAGTGACATCCTTTATAGTTTATTCAATAAAATGAAGGATAAACGCAGGAACCTAAGACTAATGACCTGACGCTCAATTTAGGCTAATGCGAACCAGTGCTCCTTCGACCGTAAACCCGGGAAATCCCGGATATGCAACTTCGATTGTTGAAATCAAGGCCGTCACGGCTACTTCCGGTCTGTTTATAATTTAACTACAGTTTGTATTGTTTTAGGTGAAAAATCAAATGACTAGGTCTAAAATCAATGGTAAAACTTGTTTAAGTAAGCTTAAGTGATGAAAACTTGAAAAAGATTTGGGTTTTTTGATTGTGCATTGATTGTATTGACCAATCATTGATTATTGGGATTGTTCTAAAAGTCAGAAACAGCTGACTTTAGTAACAAAGGTAGCTCACACCTTTGAGGTATCTTACGCATCCCACACACTACTTTCATTCGTGTTTCGATTAAAATGCTGCCCAGTAGCGCCATTAGTCTCCCCATTTTATAAAATGGGTGAATACCCATTTAACAAGTACTGTAACACACTTTTTAACGACTAAACAAGCTCATATGTTGGTATCCCTGTTTTCTTTATTTCATTGTCAATCAGCTAATTTGCATTGTTGCATATCTAGAAGGTTAAGGGGCGGTTTGGGAGCTCGGTATTAGCGCTAGTCCGCGACTAAATCCGGGTATTTCCGGTATTTTAGGCTGCCGCCTCGAAAACGGGTTTGTGAGCTCGGGATCAGTAAGGCGCGCGCCTAACTTGTGCAGGGATAATCTCGCGCCTAAAAATATTGTTGGTTTGGGAGTCAAGTAGACTTAGGCGCCAGCCTAAGAGATAGTCTCGGTGGGTTTGGGAGACCAATTTCGGGACTAAGAGATATGTTTTCGTCATAAAAATCAGTGAGTTTAGTCCCCAACTTTAGTCCTGCCAGGGGGCAGGTCTAAGTCGACATCATGCCGGTATTAGCTCATTAGCAAGTTAATTGTTTACATATTAACTAAAAGAATGTTATATTGGAATTCGTTATTAAATTCCGAACATTTTCATTACTCTCAAAGTATATTTGATAAAACTTTTTTTTTAGTTTTCTGTTGTTCAAAATAAAACGAAAATCTTGCAGAAAGCTAAATTTAACGAAAGATTATTTGGTTTTTGTTTTTACTGTTAACTGCAATACAAATATG